GCTGAACCCTCTTTCCAAGCTTCCTCCTGTGTCCCTTTCACTCAGTATGTTCCTGCTCTTGACCCAGTCCATAATTCAGTCTTTATTTTAAGGCCCAGCGTTTGTTCTGCAGATTGTAAACTGCACACCTCTAGAGGACACTGTTCCCGCGTGTTATAATTATGGGTTTGAATATTTCTTATGGGAATATTCCAGCAGATGGCAGTAAAGTTCATGAAGACAGGGTAACTTTTTCTAATTTACACAAAGGTAGAAATTTCAGATTTGCATTAGGCCCTTGTCTCCTTTATCTCTTTTTCCTTCTCTATTACATCAAAATATTTTTCTCAGGACTGGGTGTTGGCATAGTGGTAACACACTAGATTCACAAGGGAAAGGTCCTGTGTTCATGTCCTGGGATCTCTCTGGCATGATCCAGGCTAGCTGAGACTAGCAATAGATTGTGGCATGGAGACCCCACAGGGGTGCCCATCTCTCGCTCTTGCTTTCTCTCAACAAATACATTAATAAGCTAAGGGGGTAAAAGTACTTGTCTTTCTGGGCCCTGGCTTTATCCTTCAAGGTTTTCTTTTTCTTTTTCTGTCTTTCCTTCAGATATTTTGAACTTACGGAAGAATTTTAACTATAGTGCCAAAAACTCCCTTTATAAACTTGACTCACTCTAGTTCATTAGTTGTTAACATTTGGCCACGTGTGCTGTAAATGACCTCTCACCCATAGATACAGGTTTTTTTCCTGAACCATTTAAGAGTTGTTTACAAACATCCTACTTCCTTTTTATCTTTTTTTTAAAGTCAATTATGGTAGAGAATGTGTGCATCCATATAAAAGAAACAACCTTGATGGGAGGGGAGGTGTCTCGTTACATCACAGTCCCCATTTATTTATTTATCTTCAGCCATCCAACTTATCAGAGTTTGAGCATGTGAACACACACGGTGTTTTCAGTTTGGCCTAAGAATCTGAACCCATAATCAGCCTGAGTTCTCCAGCACCTGCAGCTCACTCTGCTCCCAGCTGCACCGCCAGGCCAAGACCATCCTACATTTTTATCCCTAAAGACTGTGGGATATGTTTCCTTTGAGCAAGAACTTAATTGTTGTTTTATATAACCACAGTAGGCTTACTAAATTTAGGAAATTTAATGTCAATACAGTACTTTTATTGATTACGTAGTCTACATTCAAATTTTCTTAGTTGTCCCAGTGATGTCTGCACAGCTATTTTTACCCCCTTACCAGGGTCCCATCTAGGGTCATACTTTGCACTTACACATTGTCATGTCTCCTCTTTTCATCTGAAACTGTTTTTCAGCCTTTTTTTTATCTTTCACAATTTTTTTAAGAATTATATTTTATTGGGACCAGCAGTTAGCATAATGGCTATGTCGCTGGACTCCCATGTAGTCGACCGCGGTTCGAGTCCCAGTGGCTTAAACTCACGCCGGGCGCGTGTGCGTGCGTGCCCAAGATCCCGAGAGGAGAATGGAGGAGAAGGGATTGCGGTGTGGCCATCCCCCCTGGGGGGTGATTTCTCGCTTTCTATCTCTCCGTCTGTCTGGCGAGCGCACGCCCCCTATAGCAAAAACCTCTCCAAAAAAAGAAAAAAAATATTTTTTATTTAATTTTATTCATTGTCTTTATTTATTTATTTTAAATTAAGTAGAGAGAGGGAGAAGGAAAGTGAGAAAGCAAAGCTATCAGGTCCAGGACTTCAACTGTAATCAGCCATGTGGGAGTCCAGCCACCCTAACCACCACACCACCTGCCAGCCAACAACTGATTTTTTTTGGAGAGGTTTTTGCTATAGGGTGTGTGTGCTTGCCAGAAAAGCAGAGAGAGACAGACAGACAGAAAGCAAGAAATCATCCCCCAGGGAGGATGGCCACACCAGAGTCCCTTCTCCTCCGCTCTCCTCTCGGGATCTTGGGCACGCACGCACATGTACCTGGCGTGAGTTTAAGCCACTGGGTCCAGGACTTGGACCACAGTCGGCTACATGGGAATACAGTGACATAGCCATTACACCAACTGCTGGTCCCACAACTGATAAAGCAGGCCAGTTGTTTTGTAGGCTATTTCTCAAGCTGGGCTTGTCTGGTGTTTTCTCATTAGATTTAGATGATACG